CACTCACACCCCACACCCACACTCACACCCCACATCCACACTCACACTCACACTCACACCCCACACTCACACTCCACACCCACACCCACACTCACACCCCACACCCACACCCACACTCACAATCACACCCCACACCCACATCCGCACTCACACTCACACCCCACACCCACACTCACACTCACGCCCCTTTCTGATTGGCTGAATGATAGATAAGCAGAAATTAGATAGACCCAGCTCGAAGTTTCCGGAGTCCGGAAACAAATGGATATCACCGGAATCGATCGGAAAAAGTGCGGAAAAATCATCGTATCAGGCCGAAATGCGCCGCAAATTGCCGAAACATGGAAGTAGCATTTCAAGCCAGAATGTCTTCAGATTTCTCCGATGAGTTCCGATCGTTTCTCGCGGGAAATAGCAGGAATTTGACCGGAAGCCACTGAAAAAATCCGAAGGCATGCCGATTCGGAATACTGCTTCCATGTTCCGGCAATTTCCGGTGCATTCCGGCCGGAATCGGTCCGTACTCTTCGAGCTAGGTCCATAGGTGAGCCGTGAGTGATTATGGGTATTCCCGTAGGATAGGCGTTGAGGCCTTATGGTCGCCTCCATAGGATAGGTCTTGAGAATGTATGGTTGCCTCCATAGGATAGCCCGTGAGAACTTATGGTCGCCTCCATAGGATAGCCCGTGAGAACTTACGGTTATCCGGACAGGATAGGTCTTGAGAATTTATGGTTAACCCATAGGATAGGCCATGAGAATTTATGATAACCCATAGGAGAGACCTTTAGGACTTATTGTTACCCTTATAAGATACACCGCACCACCGAGATCCCTCCCTTACTCATAAAGATTCAGAATCCAAGAAATCCACCGTTTACCTCTTCAATGTAACTCGATGTAGGGCTACTGCAAGCGCAATTTTTCGCAGCTCGTTTATTTGAGAGACGCATAGTGATTCTCGTCAAAGAAATAAACAGAATGAAAACATTTAGCTCAGTTTGCTTTGATGAAGTGAAGTACAATCAAGAAAGTGCACACTCTTTTCATCGCTTGCGTTCTTCAATCCACTTCACTTGCATTCGTTAGTTTGAATTTTTAGCAAATATGTTTCTGCAAGGTCATGTAAATAATATTTCAATTAGACGGTGAAAAGAACGGCAGAGAGAGAGAGAGAGAAAAAAAAAGCATACTCCTTCATGTTTGCAAACTTATATAACTGCGGAACAAATCAAAGCAACCATCACTATGTTAACCCATTTTTAATGAATAAGCTAACATACATACACATTTAACTGGGGATGCATCAATTCCAATTCGGCTTCTTGGCTTGGAATTGGCAGAATCCTTTGGAATTGATTGGAATTGAAGTTGGAATTCGCTAGAATTGATTGAAATTTGTCTTCTATCGGTATACTCATAAGCCTTCAACAGCTATCCTATGGCGGTGCCCATAAGTTCTCAAAGACTGTCCAATAGGGAATACCCATAAGTTCTCAACGACTTTTCTATGAGGTAATCATAAATTTTCAATGCCTATCTTATGCTCTGAAAAGAAATGGAACCATACAGAACTCTTTTTATACAATGAAGTCGAAACCTTTTAAGGTTTCGTGCGGATCTAAGGCCGTTTCAAAAGATCTATCAAGAGTCCAGGAATCTTTTTTGAAATTTTCGTAGGTCTTCTACGAAATCTTCAAAAGGTTTCAAATTCGCTGCAAATTTCGAAATCATTTTTAAGTTTTGCACGGTGCACAGAATTTTTTTAACGTTTCGTATCGTGCATGAAACCCTTTTTAAGCGCACGAAACCTTTTTCAGTTCCGTATGGTACCATTTTGTGCAGTGTGCGATACCCATAAATCCTCAGTGGGCTATTCTATGGGGTACCTATAGATCATCAAGCCTTATCCAATGGGGCTACCCATAGATCCTCAAGCCCTATCCTATAGGCGCACGCATAAGCCTTCAAGAGTTATCCTATGAGGATACGCACAGATCATCAAGCCCTATCTTATGTGGCACCCATAGGTCCCCAAGCCTTATTCTATGGGATTACACAGAGATCCTCAAGCCTTATCCTATAAGATACCTATAGGTCCTCAAAGCTTAGACTATGGGATTCGGATATGTCCTCATGATTTTTCTTGCGAGAATACCCATAAATGTTCAAGTGCTATCCGTTAGCGGTATCATTTTAAAGGCCATCTTTGGGTGATGTGTCGAGTGGCCATAACTGGTCAACATACATCTACCGTTAATCATCATAGGTTTTTAAGAACTTTTAGGGGTAGGCCGCACAATTGTGGCAAAAAACGACACTGGTACGTGATCTATTAATTGCTGTTGAATGTGGTATAAAAAACTGGCATAGAGGAAACATTAGATGTGTGTGCGTCAGTTTTTCTGGAGGCAGTAAGAGTGTGTTGTTTTACTCAGCTCGACGTGATTGTGGTAAGTAATGGAGTAGTATTACTTGGTGATTAATATCACATCGAGGATTGTGTGTTTCATATATTTCGACAATCATTGAGTTCTTCTTCAGGCGCAGGTAGATTTAGCAATGAGTGTACCACAGTTCCAACTTCACAGCCAAGGAGAGCTTAATCGAAGAGTTGGTAAAACAGCTCCAGCTCAGCGAACCGAAGAGTAACTGGCACACACACCTGCGTATGGATACTCTTAAGGACTTATGTGTACCCCTATTGGATAAGGCTTGAGGACTTATGAGTATCCCATTGGATGACGTAAATAAATTACAAAGTAATTCAAAACAATGAATTACAAAATAATTCAGTTTCTATTAGGCTCTACCAGGGATTCATAGAGATCCATGGGGATTCGGAGATTCATAGGGATTACTAGGGATTGAGCGTACTTCTCTCTAGAATGAGAACGGGAACACATCCTGAGCATACTTCTCACTGAGGGTGACGGTGGAAACACGTCCTGAGCGCATCTCTCCTGGTAATCCCTGGTAATCGCTGGTATTCCGTAGGAGTCCCCAGAAATCCCCATGAATCCCTTATGAATCCTCAGGAATCACTATGAATTCCTGGTAGAAACTAATATAAACTGAATTATTGGAAAATTCGTTGATTTTGAATCACTTTGCAATTCATTTCCGTCATGGACTCGAGTATCCCATAGGATAGGGCTTGAGAACATATGAGAAACCGCATATGATAGAGTTAGAGGACTTAAACTCTTAATAACTGAAACCTACAGAAATGGGTTTCGAGTATCCGAAAACCCACTAAGGTTTTCGAACTGATCTCGGGAACCTTTTGAAAGTTTTTTAGACATAAAAAAAAGGTTTTCGAGATCTCGAAAATCAAAAAAAGCTTTCATGTAATGACAAAATCAGAAACTCTTAAGGGTTTCTGGCATTTTTGAAACGAATTGCTATTTCGGAAACCCTTGAAGGTTTACCATTTTGTCACTATATGAAATCCGTTTTAGATTTTCAAGGTCTCGGAAACCTTTTTTTATGTCTCAAAAAACCTTTAAAGGGTTTCTGAGATCAGTCCGAAAATAGTGAGTTTCCAGACGGTCTAAAACCCATTTTGGTAGGTTTTCGACAAAACCTTTTTATTTAGAGTGTGTGGGTACCCTATAGAATAGCCTTTGAGGACTCATGGATGTCCCATAGGGTAGTGCTTGAGGATCTGTAGGTACCCTAGTGGATAAGACTTGAGGACTTCTGAATATTCACTATCGTCGCATTCTGATCAATGGAATATAATTTCAGTGTGGTCAGTGATGTCAGTGTCAATGTAATCAATACGGTCAGTGTTAGTATTTCAGTGTATACACCGACATTGGTATATCCATAGTTGAGGACTTATGGACACTCCCATAGGATAACCCTTGAAGACTCATGGATACACCCATAACAGACTAATTCCAACCAATTCCAGTCAATTTCAAGAACCGAAATTGACTGCAATTGGAATTAGTGCATCTCTACCTTCAACTCTCATTTTTTTAACGATATCCTTTTCTTTTTCTTGTATAAATATAAACTACAATGGAGGGAGAAGATGTACAATCCCTTGTTATTGACAATGGCAGTGGTGAGTATCGAAAGAAGAGATTCGCACATCGAACATCAGTGTCTAATAAATGATTGTGTTTATTTGGAAAAAAAAAGGTACAATCAAAGCTGGCTTTGCTGGTGATGATGCACCACGTGCAGTGTTTCCGTCGATTGTTGGTCGACCCCGTCACAAGGGTGTGATGGTTGGTATGGGCCAAAAGGATTTTTATGTCGGTGATGAAGCTCAATCGAAACGAGGTAAATCAAATATTCAGAGATTAGATTGACGATTTCTACTAGCCTATCTCTCTCTCTCTTAGGTATTCTCACGTTGAAATACCCGATCGAACATGGTATTGTAACAAACTGGGATGATATGGAGAAAATCTGGCATCACAGTTTCTACAATGAACTTCGTGTTGCTCCAGAAGAACACCCGCTCTTGCTCACTGAAGCTGCACTTAATCCAAAGGACAATCGTGAGAAAATGACACAAATCATGTTCGAAAAATTCAATACTCCTGGTATGACTCTCTCTTGTCGATTCTATTCTATTATTATTGTTGGTTTCTCTCTCTCTCTCTCTAGCTCTGTATGTGGCCGTTCAGGCGATTCTTTCTTGTTATGCTACTGGTCGTACAACTGGTATTGTGCTCGATTCTGGTTATGGTGTCACACAAATTGTTCCACTCATTGATGATGCGACTCTTCATCCAGAAACAGAAAAAAATTCCGAGCAGTCAAATAGCGCACATGTTCTTCCGGATGCAGCTCGTTCCCTTAATTTTGCTGGTCATGATTTGACCAATTATTTGATGAAGATTTTGAATGAACGTGGCTATGCATTTACAACAACAGCCGAAAAAGAAAGAGCTTGTGATATCAAAGAGAAGTTATGCTATGTGGCACTTGACTTTGATGAAGAAATGGCTAAAGCTGCAGAATCTTCAGCGTTGGAAAAGTCCTATGAACTACCCGATGGTCAAGTCATTAGCATTGGCAATGAACGATTCCGATGTGCAGAAGCCTTATTTAAACCGAGTTTTCTCGGCATGGAAGTGGCTGGTAAGATATATTGCGTCTATTGTTCTTCTTCATATTTTCTCTCACTCAAATTTTAACAGGCATTCATGAAACAATCTACAATTCAATTATGAAATGCGACAGCGATATTCAGAAGCATTTTTATAAGAACATCGTCCTTAGTGGTGGTAAGCAACGATCTGTTTGTTCTTTGTTGTAATTTCCATTAAGATTTTCATTTGTTTAGGTACAACAATGTTTTCGGGCATTGCTGATCGAATACAAAAGGAAATCGCTTCTTTGGCACCACCGACGATGGAAATTAAAATTATTGCACAACCTGAACGTAAACATAGTACATGGATTGGTGGTTCTATATTAGCTTCCTTGTCAACATTCCAAAACATGTGGATTTCCAAACAAGAATATGAGGAATCGGGTCCATCGATTGTTCATCGCAAATGTGCTTAACCCTTTGGAGACGGATTTTTTTTAACTAAAAAACACATTTTTCAACCTTCTTATTTTATTTTAACTCAAAATAGCTACTGAAAAATCTTATAATAATAAAAAAAAACAATTTTTTTTTATCTATTAAACAAAATGCCAATTTACAAGGGTGTGGGTGTTTCTCTGCTCCTAACACGCCCCACACCCATATCCACACCCTCAAGAAAGAATACGTGCAGAATTTATGTTCTAATGGGATAGAATCAATCTCACTCTGAATGTTTTTCAATCAATCTCTTTCTTATTTTTCATGGACATCGTTGACTGGTATGTTTGGAACGGCTTGAGAGAGGATATGAGCTCTTGGGGTCAGTTTTGACACTGAATCACAATGCAAGAGTATAGCTGTGCTCGAAAGTGACGAAAAAAAAAGCGTAAGTACACATTCTTAGTGTCGCACATGAGAAAATAAATGAATGCAATATTTCTGGTGAAGCGTCAACATCATTTTCGCTCGAGAGTGCTCTCACGAAGAGCAACAAAAATTCCATTTCAAAAGTGAACACAGCACAAAAGCACAGAACTGAAGAAAGAACATTACTCGGAGGAAAGTTGAAAAAAACCCACCTGAGCAAAATTATTTTATGAAATTTGTCTGTCTTCAGCGCGAATCGCTTTCGATAAAAAAAGCAGAACTCATGTCTTCGTAGTTTGTCATGGTGAGTCTGTGTATTTCAATTTCGATTTTTCTTTTGAAATCAGCAATCGCACCATCGAGAAAAGATCAAAATCAAGCAAATGTTAGCATTAACATACCCATCAACTACTACTAATAGTCTTCCTACTTCTATTAATGCAGAAGAACATTGCAAACCAGAGCTCCGCGGGACGATCAAAAGTCGTCCCATTCTGTCCCGCATTCTGTATTATATTGTCCCATTCTGTCCCATCTCATTCCACTTCGTTCTACAGGATGGGCCAAAAGTAACATGACAAATACTTTTTTTCGTGGTTTTTCTTCGTACGTACTGATTTGGCTTTTATATTTATACCACATATACTGAGTGACATAAGTCAAAGATGCGGCATATGATCAGTATCTAGATGTAGTAATTAGTTAGAAAGCGTACAAACATAAGGTGGCCAAAAGTAAGAAAATGCGATTAACAGTTATGGCTTTACTTTCATGACTTTGAGCGATTGCAGCTTTACAAAGACGTTGAAGGTGAACACATCGAATAGTTTTTGTGAGAACTTCCGCTATTAAGAGAGGGTCCGCGAGAAGACCACCCTACTCTCCATAGAAGTCGCCGGGGAAAAAAATTTTTTTTTCGATTTTATTTTCTTAAATGATAGGTCTAGGCAATCTAT